GTCAGTTGAGCGTGGACAATTAGACCCAAGCCGAAACATAACACGTAAAAAATAATGTTCAAAAATATCTATATTTTTTAAAATGATAGAATATGGTATTGTCATCAGTATGACATAAGTATACCAAGTTTGCAGTCGATACCACATTGGGAAGTGGGTTAAAATTGAGTTACAAGATTTGAGGATACGACAACAACAACAACAACAGACAGAGTGAGTTAATAAAAAAACGTGTAAAAACAACATAACTCAAGAGAGGCTATGTCTTCCACAGGAGATGGATCGACTGGATGAGGTGGAAAAGGAGGGTGAGGAGGTGGCGACAACGTCACTAGCACAGAGCGAGGGGATCATGCGTCTCAAGCGACCGCACGTCGACATCGAGTACGAGATGGAGATGGAGACGCAGGGCCCCCGACAAACGTCCTCGTCGCGCTGAGATTTGTCCTGACACATCGATACGGTGGTGGTGGGGGGGGGGGCAGAGATATATAGAGACATGGCGGGGGGGGGGGGGGCGCAAAGAGACACGGAAACACGGGGAGAACTCGGAGACATGGAGACAAGGGCAGAACAGAGAAACGCAGTTGGTTATGTACGGTGCGAAGGAAGTTCAATATATATGGAGACACGAGGGGGGGGGGGTAGGCAGACGGGGACACAACGGGGGAACGCGGAGCAATGTTTAAAGACAGGACACAGGATCAGAAAGACACCGAGAGAAAGGTGGACCGACACACAAAGATATTGGGGGTGGGGGGGGGGTAGACACACCCTTTGACACCCTTTTTTGTATTGTTGTAACTTTCTGACCTGCCTCTATTGGACATATTTGAAAAAAAGCTTCAAGACTCATAGGATTCCTCCAGGAAAAAAATAAAGTTTCTGATTGTGAGTCCCGAGACATGGGGCAGACTGACACAGGGAGCTGGAGTCAAGTAGACAGAGACACAGGGACAGATACGCCTGTTCACGAATCCCCTTAGACACCAAGACCGAGGTGTACACAGATGCCATTATCTCTGGGTCATTTCAATATCACCAGAAGTCAAACTCAATTCATCTCAGATGTGGCCTTTTCAGGTTTACCTAACTTCTCAAGATGCAAATTGGAGACTGATGTTCATTGCATGTACTGGTCGATTTTGGTAAACCTTGGAAAGCTGTGAGCGCAATGAATGGTGTTTGACGATGCTTGCTGTCAAGTCTGGATTGTGGTGTTTCAGAACATTTTTGGAACGCTCGCTCCTAATAAAAAATGTTTATCTCGTGTCCCCGTGACCTCTTGTCTCATTTATACCCTTTTACTGCCAACTTAGTCTGGCATTCACTTTTCTCAGCCATCTGTGCCATCAACAGGGAGTCGCCAGCATCGAAAGCAGCGACAGCACGGGCGGCGGTCCACACACGCTCGACCGGGCCACAACGAGACCAGATGTTGCGTTTGTCGGTACCACCTGAGGAGGTGGCTTAACTTTCGCGGTTCCGATTTATTTGTGTGGCCGGGAACAGTAAACTGTGTGATAGTCACTTGAAATTAGTTATTCAAATAAGTTGATCGGTGATACTAATGCTGTGCCACTAGGCGGCACCGATATCTGCTCTGGCCCTTGAATAACGCAGTACAGGAGGCATGAAACAAGATTCCCTCTTACTGCATAGCAGAGGTCGCAATCGGGTACCCGATACCCAGCTGCCGGGTACGGGTAGCCGTTTGCGACCCTGGGGCGGCCGGGTACGGGTAAGCCGTGAGTCACTGGTGAGTAACCGTTTGTCACTCATTTCCCAACGTCTTGTCTCTTCTCACAATTCAAGTTCCTAGAATCAACCCACCCGCGCCTGCAACATGGCTTCATCCCAGAGGTCGCAATCGGGTACCCTACCCGATACCCGGCCGGGTATTGGGTAGGGTACGGGTACCCGTTTGCGACCCTGGTGCGGCCGAGTACGGGTAAGGAATCAAAACCCGTTTGCGACCTCTGCCCTTGAATAACGCAGTACAGGAGGCATGAAACAAGATTCCCTCTTGCTGCATAGGCAACGTTGCGTGTTAAGTCCAGCAGAGGGCGCAGCACTTTGCGATTGCCAAGTTTTTTTTGTTTGTTACACTTTCCAACTCAGGATAAAAACACGAATGCTATAACAAGAGACATTTAAAGAACACGCCATCATGTCAATCTCTCTTGTGCTGTGTCGCTGTCAGGTCACCGTTTGATTTTTTACCCCCTAGTCACCCGGCGTCACAAAGTCAGACCCCCCTCAAATATGGTGTCACAAAGCTGCCCCCCCCGAAAAATAAATCATGCTTCAAATCGCTTTAAACTATTGTCATTGTAGTGCGTATTTTATGTGCCGCTGCACTCTGATGTTGTAGGAGAAAACATTTATTGAAAAGTCTTTAATTAAGTAGAACGTGTTTATATTTATTTAAAGTTGCGCATTTTGATGTGATGTCACATTTCTCAACCGCCCCCCCCCGTCATACATCGTCACAAATGTCTGACCCCCCTCCCTAGGTGCGTGACGTCATTTATGGACGGTCCCTAAATGTATATTGCCTTGAAGGGACTTATCCTGTAGAATCCTGGCCAAATTAACGAGGCTTCCAGCTCCGTGAGGTTTTTCACCAGACATGGATTACCACCGATCCATCTGTTTTTTCGGGTCAGGCCACGTGGTAGTTTATGTAAAAAAAAATATTGTTATCCCACCACCCGACAAGGATTGTCACGTTTGCAAATATATTCTTGGTTCTTTCGGTAGTCACGTAGAAGGAAAATAAAATATAAACATTAAACAATACAAATTCTCACGACGTTTCGACTGCAACACAAGCAATCATCATCAGGTGTGAAATCCATAGAAATATTTTTTTGTGGATTTTCTTTCTGTGGATTTCACACCTGATGATGATTGCTTGTGTTGCAGTCGAAACGTGAGAATTTTTCCTGTTTTATATTCATATTATTTTATGATTTCCCTTCTACGTGACTTTACCGAAAGAACCAAGAATTTGAATCCCTGCAGTCACGAAAGCTTTAAATCAACAAAGTTTACAAAGATGTTTTATTATTCATACGTGGCCAATGTGTCGGATAAAATTCAGACCGCTAAAGCGCCTCTCTCACGGGCGCCTTAAGGCTTTTCAATACTGAATTTAACGAGGGCCTAACCACGAAGTTTTGCTCAAATTGCTTCGAGTTTCAGGCAGTGAGCTCGGAAATCGAGTGGCGCTGCATCAGCTGACTTGGCACTTTAGGAACTTGCCGTGACATCCCCAGATGCATTTGCAGGTCTGAATGTGCCAATGCCATTCATTAAAGATTATTTCTGATCGACACCCACTGAACATCTGTGAAAAAAAGCTTGATAGCTCATCGGATTCCTCTAGCATAAATATGCTATTTTGTGACTGCGTTGACAGTGGTGTATGGATAAAAAAATTAATCCGTAAAAACAAAGTTTTTCACTATAAATCCTTTATATGCGTGGCATCGGTTTTATTTTATTATTCATTTCAGTTTTTCTTGAGTAAGAGTTTCATTTTTATCACATTGGTATTTTAAATAAAATATAATTTTTTTTTACCCTAAAAAATGGGAAATTTTGGAAAAAAATTTTCACGAAATAAATTGTCACGCACAACGAGTCTGTGTGCCAAAATGTCAGCTCGATTGGATCACGGGAAGTGGGTTAAAAAACGACCGAAAGATTTGCACGGTCGTAAGCGCGCAAGCAAGCAAGCGCGCAAGTGAACTTAATATAAAGGATTTAAAAAATAACTAAACACGTTCGTCAAAAACTAAACTATAAACATTTTAATCTTGATTTGAAGCTTTCGTACGGCCCACTGAGCTGTATAGCTCAACGAAGTGGCTTAACCTCATCGTGTGGAAATGTAAAGCAGCCAAATACTCTAAACGCGTGATGTCGATTTTAAATGTGGAGGGGAAAACCGGAGGACCCGGAGAAAAAATCCACACTACCACACAGAGAGAGGCACGCAAACTCCAAATATAATAATCGGCGACGTTCGCAATGATCCTTCTTCATTGGCCACAGAGGTAGAGTCGCTCTAGTGAGTCTAGTCACTCCCATCTCTCCACTACTATACTGAACTTTTTTTTCATTTTAAGGTAGTTTTAACACATTTCTGCTGAGGGAGATGGTAGGAACGTTGGGTTGCTTGGTCAATGACCAGGGTCAACGGCGGCGTGGTGTATTCCGCAAATATGCCCGACTGAGGGCGGGCACAAGCCGGCGTGAGTAGGTTAAATGTTGAGTTTTATAAGGGCACCACGGGGTGACCAGCCCCTCCTCACCCAGCCCCACCCCTCCCACCCCCCACCCCACCCGGCCCCCACCCAGCCCCTCCCCACCCTCCCCACCCAGCCCCTCCCCACCCTCCTCTCCCCACCCAGCCCCTCACCACCCAGCCCCTCCCCACCCTCCTCTCCCCACCCAGCCCCTCCCTCCCCACCCAGCCCCTCCCCACCCAGCCCTCCCCACCCTCCCCCTCTCCACCCAGCCCCACCCCTCCCATTTTTGGATTCACGACGGACGGACGGACACAGTAATCCCCTGTGGGCTGGTGGAACCAGGTGGTTCCTACCAGTATTAACTTTACTTTGATCCTTGCTACTTTTAATATACTTATTTTAGACATCTTCAAAGAAATACATTTCAATGGACATGAATAATTATTTTTAGTGTATTAAAAAAAAATGTCAAAGTAAATGTTTTTATACAATTGACTACCCCGACTACTGCCCGGCCCAATCTCAGGCGACTCACACCCGCAGCACGCTCCGCGGGTGTGAGGGCGGGGCGGACTGCAGTCGTTTCTCCCCGCAACGATAAAAGCAATGGAAGAAAAAGTAGTGCCTCGTGCGCCTGCGCGCTGAGCAAAGTAGTCCCCCGCCCCTTGTACAACCCCCCCCCCCCCCCTACCGGGCCGTGTTATAAAAGGAGGAGGGCCGCTGGTGTTGTGAGGCAGTTGCGCACTGCGTTCTGGCGGTGAGTGGAGTGTGTGGTGGTGGTGAGTGTGGTGGTGTGGTGGAGAGTGTGAGTGTGTGGTGTGATTGTGTGGTGGTGGTGGTGGGAGTGTGTGGTGGTGAGTGTGGTGTGGTGGTGGTGGTGGAGGGTGTTGTGTGGAGTGTGTGGTGGTGGTGGTGAGTGTGTGGGTGGTGGTGGTGGTGAGTGTTGGTGGTGGTGAGTGGTGTGGTGTGAGTGTGTGGTGGGTGGTGGGTGAGAGTGTGGTGGTGAGAGTGTGTGGTGGTGGTGGTGAGGGTGGTGGTGGTGGTGAGTGTGTGGTGGTGGTGGAGAGTGTGAGTGTGTGGTGGTGAGTGTGGGTGGTGGTGAGTGGTGGTGGTGGTGAGTGTGTGGTGGTGGTGGAGAGTGTGGTGTGTGGTGGTGAGTGTGTGGTGGTGGTGAGTGGTGGTGGTGTGGAGAGTGTGAGTGTGTGGTGGTGAGTGTGTGGTGGTGGTGGTGGGAGTGTGTGGTGGTGAGTGTGTGGTGGGTGGTGGTGGGAGTGTGTGGTGGTGAGTGTGGTGGTGGTGGTGAGTGTGTGTGGTGGTGGTGGTGGTGAGTGTGTGGTGGTGGTGAGTGTGTGGTGAGTGTGTGGTGGTGGTGGTGAGAGTGTGGTGGTGAGAGTGTGTGGTGGTGGTGGTGAGTGTGGTGGTGGTGAGTGTGTGGTGGTGGTGGGAGTGTGTGGTGGTGGTGGGGTGTGTGGTGGTGGTGAGTGTGTTGTGGTGGTGGTGAGTGTGTGGTGGTGGTGAGTGTGTGGTGGTGGTGAGTGTGTGGTGGTGGTGAGTGTGTGGTGGTGGTGGTGAGTGTGTGGGTGGTGGTGAGTGTGTGGTGGTGGTGAGTGTGTGGTGAGTGTGTGGTGGTGGTGGTGGTGGTGAGTGTGTGGTGGTGGTGGTGAGTGTGTAGGTGGTGGTGAGTGTGTGGTGAGTGTGGTGGTGGTGAGTGTGTGGTGAGTGTGTGGTGGTGAGTGGGTGGTGGGTGGTGGTGGTGGTGAGTGTGTGGTGGTGGTGGTGAGTGGTGGTGTTGGTGAGTGGTGGTGTTGGTGAGTGTGTGGTGGTGTTGGTGAGTGTGTGGTGGTGTTGGTGAGTGTGTGGTGGTGTTGGTGAGTGTGTGGTGGTGTTGGTGAGTGTGTGGTGGTGTTGGTGAGTGTGTGGTGGTGTTGGTGAGTGTGTGGTGGTGGTGAGTGTGTGGTGAGTGTGTGGTGGTGAGTGTGTGGTGGTGGTGGTGAGTGTGTGGTGGTGGTGGTGAGTGTGTGGTGGTGTTGGTGAGTGTGTGGTGGTGTTGGTGGTGGTGGTGGTGGTGAGTGTGTGGTGGTGAGTGTGGTGAGTTGTGGTGGTGAGTGAGTAGTGGTGGTGGTGAGTGTGTGTGGTGAGTGTGGGTGGTGAGTGTGTGGTGGTGGTGGTGGTGGTGGTGGTGGTGAGTGTGTGGTAGTGGTGGTGGTGGTGGTGAGTGTGTAGTGGTGGTGGTGGTGAGTGTGTGGTGAGGTGGTGTGGTGAGTGTGTAGTGTGTGGTGGTGAGTGTGTAGTGGTGGTGGTGAGCGTGTAGTGGTGGTGGTGAGCGTGTGGTGGTGTGGTGAGTGTGTAGTGGTGGTGGTGAGTGTGTGGTGGTGGTGGGTGAGTGTGTGGTGGTGGTGGTGAGTGTGTGGTGGTGGTGGTGAGTGTGTGGTGGTGGTGGTGAGTGTGTGATGGGGTGGTGGTGAGTGTGTGGTGGTGGTGAGTGTGTGGTGGTGGTGGTGAGTGTGTGGTGGTGGTGAGTGTGGGTGGTGGTGGTGAGTGTGGGTTGGTGGTGAGTGTGTGGTGGTGGTGAGTGTGTGGTGAGTGTGTGGTGGTGGTGAGTGTGTGGTGGTGGTGGTGAGTGTGTGGTGAGTGTGTGTGCAGTGAGAATGGTGAGT